GGCTGAGGATCGCATGGTGTACCAGTCCCTTGGACTAATTGTTTCCGTGCGTCTTTGCTTTTCTTTGTTCTTCTTTGCTCTGGACAAGAAGAGACCAATTGTTGCATCTAGATGGCCACTTGCAAGCTTTTAAGATCCCAGTTGCTACTCGCGAAAGTAGGAGGTGGAACAAGGTTTTTGCGTAGTGTGTTATGGCAGTTGAGCTTGATGTCCCCTGTGACCATGGTCCCGAGCCCAGCCCTGTGCACTTTTATACTTGAACATGAAGGGGAGGTAAAAAGAGCCTGCAAATGGCTTTGTAAGTTGTAAAAGCTTCAATTGGAAGAGCCTTGTGCTTGGGAGGTGAGCTGAGCTGCTGTCGGGATCCCGATCCTGGGTGACAGGAAGCCGGCCACTTAACCTTTAAGGCTGTGAGCCTCACCATCTTCTGATGCTTCCTGCATCGTGCGATATTTTGCCCATGTTGTTGCTGTTGTTAGGTGCTGTCAAGTCAGCTCTGACTTGTAGGGACCTGTGCACAACAGAACCAAACACCGCCTGGTCCTGTGCCGTCCTCAGTCTTTGCTGTGCTTGAGCCTGTTGTCAGAGCCACTGTCAGTCCGCCTCGTTGAGGGTCTCCCCTTTTTTGCTGACCCTCACATTTACAAAGCGTGAAACTCTGTGGCACATGACAAATGGCAGCTTGCCCTGGGATGTGGAATTTGTTCTGTGAGCAGAATGGACGTTCTCGTGTATCTCAGTTGGCTGCTGGCCTCGTAATACATCATTGTCGTTATCTCTGCCTTCCCTTGCCTGGGCCTGTCACAGGGCCTAGCACGCATATGTTATTTCATTGATTCAGCAAACATGAATTAGTTACCAATCAGGTGTCAGGCATTGGGGTATGAACTGGGAATACAACTCAGAGTGACTCACAGTCAAGGGCCTCATGGTTGCTTCAGGGGTGGGAGAGGGAATAGGCCACCACAGTCCACGTACTCGGAGTGGTGGTGGTGGTAGGAGCTGGGCTGGTGGCAGGGCAGAGCAGGGAGGTCTGTGTGCTTAGAGGGGGCACCGAGGGCCAGGAAGAGCAGGGCATTGTGGTCCTGAGGTTGGAACCCACACGCCATTCCAGGAAAGGACAGTGGTAAAGGCCAGGAGTGAAAGTGGACTGGTCCTGGGGGTGCCAGCGCCCTGCTGAACACCCCCTGCATCCTACCCTTTACTCCCATGCCACCCTGCACTTCACCCAGAAGAAGCCGGTTGGGAGGCTGAGCAGCTTGTCCAGGGTCAGCAGCTGGCAAGAGGAGAAACCAGAACTGAGACGCGGGCTGTCTGACTTCACCAGTGCTCTCCCGCCATTGCTCTCTGTTGTACCAGAGCCTCGGGAATCTGGAGGGTTCCTGGGCCCCTAGAGGAGGCAGAGCCCCTGATGATGAGGCTGACCTGGGTGTGGGAGGAAGGAAGGAGGGGAAAGGAAAGGGAGTAGGGATGGAGGGATGGAGGCAACGAGGGAAAGAGGGAGGACTGGCGATGGGAATAAAACGGTGTCTCCCGCGCTGCCGAGTGCCCCTGCTCTTGACTGTTCTCTCCTACTTTTTGACCCACCTGGTATTTTTGTGTCAGATGAGGTTAAAGCTCCTGCTAAAAGGCTGGATGAGTCCCTGTTTTCCTACTTCAAAATGTGAATTAAATGCCCATTGTGGGCCAGATACAGGATCTCTGCTGATGCAGTGGTTAAAGACTTTGGTTGCTACCAAAAAGGTTGACAGTTCAAATCCACCAGCTCCTCTGCAGGAGAAAGATGAGGCAGTCTGCTTCCATAAGATTGGTCACCCTGTGGGGCAATTCAGTTGTTGTTTGTTGTTATGTGCCGTCGAGTCGGCCCTGACTCATAGCGACCCCTCCTTGGGTTTCCGAGGCAGTATCACTACAGAAGTAGGATTGCCCAACCTTCCTTCTGAGGAGTGGCTGGTGGGTTTGAACCACCAGCCTTCTGGTTAGCAGTCAAGTGCCTTAGGCACTATGCCACCAGAGCGCCTATGGGGAGCTCTGTGGGGCAATTCTACTCTGTCCTGTAGCGGCACTGGGAGTTGGAATCAACTCCATGGCAGTGGGTTGGGTTGGGTTTTGATAGGCCAGATACGGAATCCCTGGGTGATGTGAGTGGGTAAGAGTTCAGCTGTAACTGAGAGATCCGTGGTTTGAATCTACCTCGAGACACCTCGGAGGAAGGACCTGGGGATCTACCCCTCAGCAGTTGTAACTGCGGGCAGGTTAGGTCCCCTCTCCCCCACAAGGTACTAACAGCTTCCATCCGCCATCTGTCACTGTGTCAGACTGTGGTGGCTTGTGTCTGCTGTGACCCTGGAAGTTATGGCACCGGTATTTCAAATATCAGCAGGTCACCCACAAGGGACGGGTTTCAGTGGCGTTTCCACACTAGGAAGAAAGGCCTGGCAATCTGTTTCCAAAAGTTAGGCAATAGAAACCCTATGGATCACAAAGAACATTGTTCAATAGATGAGCCCCTGTGTTGGCAGCTACTCAGATACAATGGAGCCGAGCAGACCAGTGATCGCAAGGATGGAGCAGGCCCGAGCAGAGTTTTGTTCTGTTGTAAGTGGGGTCACCATGCCTCAGATGCAACCTTCCAGTAAGTGACAGCATGCACGGCGTCTCGTGCCCCACAGCCTGTGCACACGGCTCCATGGGATTCTCCAGTCCTCAGCACTACCCCTACCTCAGCCAGTCCCCACGTGGCAGGGGTCACCCCACTTTGTAGAAGAACACATGGACTCTCGGGGAGTTTATACAGTGACCTCGATGGGTCTTAGGAACGTGGATAAGACCTTCCACCTCAGCCATGCACAGCAGGTCTGGGCTTCGAATTTTGGAGGAAACGGTGACTCCTTGGCTCACCTGTATCCATGAGGCTGATCTAGCCAGTGACTTTTCCTTGTGGTAAGTATTTAAATTCCTTAGCTGATGATTTCCCGCTTGCTCTTCGTTTCTGCCCTCCAGCGCCAGAGAAAAAAGACCATTTGATCCAAAGCCCACCCCCCGACTTTTGAAATTTATGAACAAACGGTCTGCACTGTCAGTGGGTGGAAGACGTGTTTGCATCGCTGCGGCCCCAGTGGTCATGGTTTTA